TTCTGGCACCTGCCTTGCAAGTGCAAGGACCTGAGTTCAGTCCCTGGTACAAAAAAACAAAACAAAACAAAAAAACCACAGGGATGCTGTGCCACTGAGCTACATTCCCAATCCTTCTTTATTTATATTTCAAGACAGGGTCTTGCTAAAATTGCACAGGCTGACTTCAAACTTGAGGATCTCCTGCCTCAGCCTCAGGAGGACCTGCAACTGCAAGGCGTGCCCAGCTCAGCGCTGGTGTTATACTTGAGGCAGAGTGACTTTGGATTTAGATGAGGACACAAATCTTGGCTCGCCGAGTCTGTGCATCCCTAGTATAAAGTGAAGATGTCCTTTTCCCCATTTTTATGAGTACACACTTGCATTACATAATGATCACATTCCTAACGGGGAATTGTTCCTTTTTATGTTAATAATGATAATAGCACCTGTGTACCAACCAAGCAGCCACTCTGCTAGGCACTGTATAATATTTATATTAGTGTATATATATGTGTTCAGCTTCTGATTTTCACCCAGAGTGCCCAATATGGCACCTGACCCATGGGAAGTGCTCAAGGAATACTACTTCTTCCCCTTCCTACCTCTTCCCACCCGCACCCTGGTCCTGGATCAGGGGATCAGAGCAAAGACAGCTCGTGTTGCTCCTGCAGCCACTTACTTTCAGATTTCCCTTTGGTTCTTTGCGTGTGGGGGGGGAGCTGCTCTGACTTCTCCAAACGCTGCCCTCCTTCACCCCTCATGTCCCGTCTAGCAGTGTTGGCCGAGCACTGGCTGCCTGCTGAGCAGAGGTTCTCAGTCCAGTGAGAGGCAGGCGGGACTCAGAACTCTTTGCCACCGAGCAGCCCCTCCTGCAGCTGGAGGCCCGAGTCGCCTGGAGCAGCTTACTCTACAGGCAGGTCTGTCCTCGAGGTGGGGGATGGAGGGTCCCTGCCCTCCTCCTTTTCCTGCCTGCTTTGTCTCCTGGGCCTTCCCAGGTTGCTGTTGATGGTTTGGTGCCCACCTGAGGGTCGTGCCCTGCTCAGGTGTGCACGGAGGTGTCTGGAAGCAGGATGGATCTGTTTGGCCCTGTTGCTGGGATGTGGGTTAATCGAAATGGGGAAAAGTGAGCCTGCCTACAAGTGGAAGCAGGAACTCTCTGTACCCTGGAGATGTTTTTATTTTAAAGGCCTCTAGGTGTTTGTTGGAAAAGGAAGGAGCAATGTGTAACAGAAAGCACCAGGCAGAAGCTGGGCCTAGTGGCACATAATGGTAATCTCAGCACTCAGGAGACTGAGGCAGGAGAATCCGAAGTTTGAAGCCAGCCTGACATGTAGTGAGACCCTGTCTCAAAACATAAAATAAAAAAGAGCACCAGTCAGTGAAAAGCCTTGACTCGCCAGAGTTTCATCTCCTCGGCCCTCAATGTCTTTCCTGCAAGGTGGGAATCGTAGCTCCCCTACCTGCAGTGGATAGGATGGTGTTTCACAGGTCATCTATAAATCATAGAACAGACATGTACAAGACTTTTGGAGGAAAACAAGAGCACTTGATGATCATGCGCAGTGGTATGATTTCTTGCTTTAAGAGGAAGGAAGAGAGATGGAAACGGGGAGTGAAAATGTATCTTACCCAGAATGCCCCACGCGGCCTGGCCTATCCTGACCTGACAGGTAGCACCTCGAAGGCCGCAGGGTGTGGCCACTTGCAGATTATTCCCTGTGTGTTGCCTAACAAGGTGAGGGGCCAGGCAAGTTGCAAAGAGCTCATGTCCGAGAAGTAGGGCACCCTGGTGAGCCTGCTGCAGACCACGGAACTTCTGTGGTGACCTCGCTTTAAACCCAGCCCCAGCCACACGCCGCCCCTGTGCCTGGCTATCTGACCTACTGTCTGTGTCTCCGGATCGACCTGGAATGGCAGACCTTCCCAGTGTTTCCCACCGTGCTCTTTAGTCCCTGTGTGCTGCCCTTGCGGGCCATTATTCATCAGTTGCCTTTGTGACTGGAAGCCTCTCTCCCTTTTGCGACCCCGAGGAGAGGTTCAAAGTAAGGTATTTGGAAAAAGACTGTTGCTTCTTATTTTCCAGAGGCTCAGGACCACATAAGCCAGTGGTTATTACCCATGGTCATAACCTAGATAATGAAAAGGTTTTTTTGTTTTGTTTTGCTCCGGTGGTAGTTTTTTTTTTTTGGCGGGGGCGGTACTGGGGATTGAACTCGTTCCTTGTATTTGCAAGGCAGGCAGCGGCACCACTGAGCTAAATCCCTGGCCCCCTTTTGGTTTCTTTTGTAGTACCAGGGAATTAATCTCAGGGCTTCTGCAGCTGAGCTACATTCCCAGCCCTTTAGTTATGATTATTTTTTTGAGACAGAATATTATTAAGTTGCTAAGTTACTCAGACTGGGCTCAAGCTTGTGATCCTCCTGCTTCAGAGTGCTGGGATTACAGGCTGTATATCACTGCACCCAGTGTAACAGAAGCTGCCTTCACATTTCTCTGGTTTTTTGGAGGGGTCAGGGGAACCCTGGCCAGGAAAGATGGGATCTTGCTGCCCTTCTGCTTACAGGACTAGATAACAGCAGTTATTCAAGTCAAATTCAGCTTTCTCCCATCACTGGACTGCCTTGTACTGGACACTGGGCACCTTTCCAAAATTTTGAAACCCCGTTTTTTAAATCTATAATTTCATTCCTTTAGTACTTCCTCAGGATGGTGTGAAAAGGCTGATTCTCCTCCCAGTTAAACGTGAGAGGAATTAGTTTTAAAAGGCTAAGTGATTTACCCAAATGATGAGTGAGAAGATGGGAAATACGGTTCTAGGTCTGCTACCAGTCGTTCAACAGCAGCAATAAATATTAACTGAATGCCCACCATGTATAGGTTCTCTTCTGGGTACTGGGGAAAAGCACCGAACAGGACAGGTAAAAATCGCTGTCTTCATGGTACAAATATCATGAGCAGGGCAGAAAAGGCAAAACCTTCTGATTCCATTTTACATTCTGTCAGCATTGGCCCCAACAACCTCTTGAAAGGCTAAGGACTCTACTTAAGGGTCAAGATGATATCTCACTGCCATACCCTCTCCCACTCCTTCCAGGCTTGGAGCAAAAGTTAACCTGGAGAGGGCCGGGGATTTAGCTCAGTGGTTCTGTCACCTGCCTTGTAAGCACAAGGACCTGAGTGCGATCCCCGGTACCCAAAAAAAAAAAAAAAAAAAAAAAAAGTTACACTGTCCCAAGGATTTTCTCTCCAGTTTATCCGGATAGCGTAGAACCCTGTAGAGAGTGTTTTCCTAAAATACACACCTATGATAAAGTTTAATTTATGTACTAAGCACAGTAAGGGGTTAACAATGCTAACTAATAATAAAATGGAACGATGACAACAACTTGCTGTACTAGAAGTTAGGCGATATGGTGTCTCTCTCTCGCCCTTTTTCTCTCCCAGAATGTGCTTTCCACAGGATTGTGGGTAAGGAGGGGACACCTTACTGCCTGTCCTATGCCTGTGTAAATAGTTTGACCCACTGCCTCAGCTTCTCCTCAGACTTTGTTCCCCAGGTGATATTTGAAAACAAACAAACAGGTACAACTGACCTTGCTTAATTCTTTGTAAGTCAGGGGAGTGATAAATATCTATGATCCAAGGGGTGGCAGGGGCGCCTTGGGAGAGGCGGGCCGGTAACAACCACCATCCTTAAAAGATCAATCCAATCAGGGAGCAGAATGGTTGAAATCAGTAGAGACTGGCCACATGCAATTTTGATGAAAGTGGTTGATAAAAGAATCAGCTCCTTATCTGATGATTCCCTTGCCTCTTTGCTCACCTTCTAGAAGCGAGGGTGTCACCTGTGGATTAAACAGTCTGACTAGAGTTCCTGGCCAATCCCTGGTAACTGAGCTGTAGGCAAGGGGAACTGTTTAGCCAGGACTAGGCCCCACTTATTCCAGTGCTGTGCTCAGAAGTGCCCCTTCGCTTTAGGATGGCTGATGTGAGGCAGTAGGACACGTAGCAGCAGGCGAAGTCAGACTTACTCCCACCTCCAGCCCTCCATATCCTCACACACATCTACCCCACACCTCACTCGGCCAACGTAAGAGGTGACACCTGTCTTGCGGAGGGGGAAATGTTCATCTCCTCTCATGCAGCCACCGTGCTGAAGTGAAACTGTGGGGTCCCTCACGCGTAAACTGACTTGTCTCTAATGATGTCCTGGGGCCCCCTGCTCTAGCTCAGCGAAAGCTGTCTTATCCTTCCCACACAGCACTATCTTTCCTCCTCAGAGGAACTTCTGCCCCTTTTATAAAAAGTGACTCCACACTGTATGATAAACTGCCAGAGCATTTTATTCTCTCCTCCTCAAAGCCTGGTGGTGGGATGGGTACCTCAAAACTAAAATTTGCTGCCTGACTTGTTGACAACTGCCAGGGGCTGCTGAATTTCCATATGGCTCAAGGCTATACATTCTGACAGAGGAAGGATTTGGGCATCTTCTGTCACATTGTCTTCCTGGTTTGTAAATGTCTGCAGGGAAGTGGGGGAGCGTGGGGGTTGCAGAAGGTGGCAGACAGGCAGGCCACTCCAGACCACCGGGGTCTTGGCTCCTTCTTCTGCCTCCTACAGGTAACATCAGACTAAAGGATCCTGTTGAGGGGTCCCTCAGGTACTGCATATAGAGAGAGCAGGAGAACTGTTAGAGGTCAAAACCTTTTATTTCCAAATGCCTGAAGTTGTGGGATTTGTGTGGCTTGGTTTGGGAGAAGTGAGGTGAGAAGGCTGGGGTATACCTGAAGTAACTTTTCTCCACGGCAGTGTACAGGCTGTTCGGGCCTCCCGGTGAGGAAGGGGCCTCTCATGAGTCAGTTCCGTCAGCCCAGACCTCAGCTATCAGTGAAACTCAGACATCAACTGTCACTTAAAGTTTTGTGCTAGACTGGAGGTACCTTTTGCCCTTGAAGTTCTAGGATCTTCATGGCCATTTTAATCATTTCTTTTTGTCTATCTTTGAATCTTTGTTTCAGAGATCCAGTTGTCATTGGTATCCAGGGAGCTGTCCTCTTCCTCCTGCTGTTGCTGATCTACCACCACAGTTGCTGATTGTCACTAAGGTTGCCTCCATGTAACATGCACATCCTGTTTACGCCTCCATCTGGACAAGTCAGCCTAAACTAGGAACCTACCTGTCCTGCACAACCATTTCCATTACCACCCAGGGGACACCAATCATCGTGACACGAAGTCCGACTTCTACTTGGTTCCCCCATCTTCTTCCTCTTCTCACTGACAGGCCTTGTTACAGAAGAAAGGCTTGAGGCTGGGGTTGCTACCCTGACAGGATATTGTCTCTCTGTTTCCTAACTGGGCCCTCAGAGAAGCAGGAAGCGGGAAAAGGCAGGGACAAGAAGGCAAGGGGCATTGGTCAGTTGAGTGGGAAACTCCTCATCTTCTCTGGTTGAGGAGCTGGGACCCGTAGGCAAAATGACGAACCCATCCGGACATGCCTTGCCGGCCAACTCGACGGCTGAGAGCCACGATGGAGACTTTGGCTTCACGTTAATGGACTTGAGGAAACTCATGGAGCTGCGTGCGAGTGAAGGAGTGACCCACATCAATGTCCACTGTGGCGGGGTACAGAATATCTGCAGTAGACTGAAAACCTCCCCCGTGGAAGGTAAAGACCATTTCAGAGGAAGGCGGCTAGTGTTTTGAAATACTGTTTTCTGTCTTTTAGGGAAAGCACTTTTCTAGAGAGCACATGTGTAGATTTTTATCTGATGGGGAAAGTGGTATCTAAAAGCACTGTACAGAGGTGAGGCCTCAGAGAGCCATTTCTTTCCAAAAGACGATGTTTAGGGACTAAGGTATTCTTTGAAGATTATTCTTTCTTCCTTTTTCTATGTCAGTATACAGAGGAGAGGACATTTATCTTGTAAATGTTTATGGTATAAATGCTTTTATCAGAAAATAATCATCAAGCCCCTTTGATGTCTTTGGTTACAAAAGAGTTAAACATATAATTCTTCCTCATATTGATCTTTTTTTTTTTTTGGTACCAGGGATCGAACTCAGGTCCTTGTGCTTGCAAGGCAGGCGGTGGAACCACTGAGCTAAATCCCCAGCCCCCCTCATACTAAATCTTCAAATATAGTGGGGCATGGGAAGTCTACCAAAAAGTAAATAATCCATCAACCCATGGCTATTTTACTGTATATAGTTTTATATATAATAGTAAATAGTTAGAAATGGGATAGCAACTCTAATAAGGCGTATAGTCGTATCCACCAGATCACTGACTGTTTTCTGCGAGGGAGTTGTAGGTAATGTTTTCAACCTTGACTGACACACTTTTTGATTGGTAGATGTTTGTAATACAAAATAACTTTAATCATCTTGGGGAATTGGTACATATCCTATCACATCTTAATCATTTTTGCTTCTTTGCTACACTTTTATAATATAGTTCTTCTTAATCTATATTTAAAGGAGAACAAGAAAATCCGGGTTCATGCATGCCTGGCTCTGCCCCGATGCTGGATGTTCCACGTTATTATAAATTTTGCCTCGTCAGAATGTAAAGAGAACAAAAGGAAACTTGCTTGCTCACTGGGGCCTAGACGTGGCATCTTTGTAGCAAATGCTTTCTTGACTCTGTACACCAGGCTGTCTGGCCTGAGAAGCATGAGGTGGAGGAAAGATCCTGCCCTTAGAGGCCTTCACCCTTTGTCTCTTATTTCTGAGCCTTCCTCGGAGACCATATCATACTTCTCACAGCTCTAAGAGGCTTCTACCCCTTGCCAATGCTGCATTCATTATAAGCTAATGACTTGGAGTCTAGATGAGTGTGTGCATGTATGTGAGTGTTTGCGTGTGCACAGTGCTGGGGATCAAACCCCGGGCCTTTTCGTGCATGCTAGGCAAGTGCTGTACTACTGAGTTATCCTCCAGCCCGAGTGTAAACTATTTATCATAAAGTGAAAGAGATTTTTGCATAGATATGTACATGTTGCCCATATCTTGTTTTTGCAGCTCGAGGGGTTTTCCCTATGTGTTCTCTTTACTTCTGTTACTCAGTTTCCTATCTCACAGGCTTTGAGTTCAAATCCTCGCTGTACCCAGCCCATAAAGATACTGGTACTAAATAATATAATGCATATTCAAATTTAAAATAGGTCTTTGATACATTAGTTGTCTCCAGTTCAAACAGAGCCCACGTGTGTGAAAATAAGTTCCTGTGGAGTGTGTCACGCATTGTCACACCTGGTGAGGTTCCCGCAGGGACTATTTCCGAGACCTGATCAAGGTGGCTGTGCTGTTGTTTTTGTTTTTGTTTTGTTTTGTTGTTTTTTGGTACCGGGAATTGAACTCAGGACCTTGGGAAGCAGGTGTGGTGCCACTGACCTAAATCCCTGGCCCCTAGTTTTTTCATGTGGTTTAGTCACCGCCTCCTGGCTAAAGTCTAGTGACTGCCTCTGGGCCCTGGCTAGTTCTTGCCAGCTACATTTCTTTATTTGGTTACTTTTTAAACCAAACTGACCGTAAAGAATCTTTACTGAGATTTTGGGTGCTTTACAAACACCCATCAGAATTTCAACAGGATTTTTCTTTTCCCCTCTTTCTCTGTTCCGGTCAGCCGTGGCTCTCCTGAAGTGGCACACAGGTGTTCCACTAAGCTGGAACCTGGGGAGCTCCTAAGAAGAGGATTCCGACTTGCCTCCAATTTTCCAGTTTTCTAAATCCTTTCCTATAGCTATGACTGTTGACTTTCTACTCCCCAGAGAACTTTCATCTCAAAGGCCAAAATATATTCTGCTGTTCTCTCGGCACTGGATATTCAGTGTTATAGTCAGTGTATTGTATTCTTTCCGAGTCTGTTTCATTCCCATTGCTAACCGCCCCCCCTTCGATGGCAGACTCCTCCCCTACTACAGAACCAGGGCCCCTAGCACTGGCACAGCTGTCCACTACCATTCTCCTGTTTCTTAGATCACAACTCTGTATCCTCATCTGTTTCCCTGTAAGATTTACTATAGGGCTGGTCCTGGAGCTGAAAAGGCAAGGTGTCTAGAAACAGCCTTTGCATTAGTCATTTTTAACCCCGAGTTCCAGTAGTGACTCCTCATGTGTGAAAGGAATAAAGCGATGGGAAAAGGAAACAGAACGGCTGAGACGCAGGAGCCTCTACTCAGACAAAAGTGCTACTGAGCTGCTTACTTGGGCACGCAGAGGAAAGAGAATCAATATCTAGATGCCCCTTGAACCGATGCTATAAAAACCCAGCCTATTCACAGAGGACCACACTTGGGCTCCTGACAGCTGAACATAATTCTGTAGGAGGCCCCTGCAGACGAACACTAGGAATACAAATATTTATCTGATGATTGAATTCTTTTGGTTGGAAAACAAGGTAAACTAAGATTGGGGAGAGTGGAGTTGGGCTGGAATTACACACCCATCTACCAGGGAGGCTGAGGCAGGAGGGTCACTTGAACCCAGGGGTTTGAATGCTTAGGCAACATAGTGAGACCCTGTCTCAAAAAAAAAAAAAAAAAAAAAAAAGGATTGGGGAGATTGGTTCATCATAGACTATGACCCTTCTTTATGTTCTGTGGACTGATAGTGTGTAGATTAACAGACCTTAAAAAAGACATAGCTACCAGGGACCTTATGGAACTGGGATTTTTAACATTTTTGGCACTGATGTGGTTTTATTAGCCTATATTTACTACACGACTCTTAAGTGCAGGAGAGCTTAATTCTTAATATTCTTTCTCCAGGCTACAGGGTTAAATTACTTGCCTGATCTCTTACTTCCAGGTAGAAGGTGATGGAATCATTTATATTTTTTGTTCACAGTCTGTTAATGTTCTGTTGGCTCTTACGCTAAAATAGCAACACAGAGACTCTCAGAAGCACAGAAAATTTAAAAGTTTGTATTGCATTTTGCTGCCTGGAAGATGTGCGATTGTGACCTGCTACTGCGCCCCCTAAGAATGCACTTGTTAATTGGAGGGGAAGTTACTGCTATGAGTAAGAGTTGGTTAGACTCAGGAAGACTTGGAGATGCTCCGCTGCCTCAGTGTTCAGCAGTGTCCAGAAACAAAGCTGAGAGTGTGAGCCCCAAAGGGGACCGGATTTAGGAAAAAAGAAGGGATGGAGGAGGTATGTAACAGGACGAATACTTAAATTTAAGTGATAAAGATTTCCATCTTTATGACTGTGTCTAAAAAGCTAAGATGCTGAGCGAAGGGAAGTCCTGTTGTCCTGGATTCAGCAGTAGAGGAAGTCTGAGCATTTGGCATCCCTGAAACCCCTCTCGTGTGCTTGCCCTCCCCGCACTTCAGTGTTCCATCCTCCTTTTATTCTCTTCTTCTCTCCCTGCTCCATTGCCACCCCAGCCAATCTCTCCAATCCCCAAACATCAGAACAGTTCAGTGGATAGAGGCCGGAAGACAGCCCTGGTCTTCTGAGTGGTCCCCCGGGAGCCATGGCCTTGGGAGCAGAGTCGCCTATGGCTTGAGGGGACAAAAGAAGAGGTATTTTTTCCGGGCTCAGATCCTTCTGCATTTCTCTCTGGATGGGAGATCCTTTGGTCTAGGTAGAAGGTTGTGAATATTCTTTCTCTCCATAGAACTTTTCCTTGCTGCGCCCCAGCTGTGCTGCCCTAGTTAGGGGGAGAAATTATATTTCCTGCAAAGGCCTTGGGTCAGCAGTTAGGGGAAGGTCTGCACCGGGACCAGAACGAGCAGAAACGGGGACCCTTGAAGAGACGGTGAAGCACTGACCGCAGGGCTTCTCTCAAAAGGCTGGAAACAGTTTCTGCAGAAGGCAAATCTGGAGGAGTGTGGCTAGGACTTCCATGTTCCCTGTGTATTACCCTTTGCCTCTTTCCCCTCTGCAGCATTGTGCTGTAGGATAGCTGAGGGCCCCCACTTCCCTTTCAACAACGTGCAGCAGCCATTTAATGCCCACTCGGGCTCAGGGACACAAGGGTGGGTGTGACAGGCTCCGTCCTTCTTTCCATAGAGCCTTTGGGCTAAAAGAAGTTGCATTCAAGTGTAGGCCATTCCCGGAATGCTGCCTGTGCTGGGGGAGAGCAGGTGTGATGGAAGCACACGGTGTGGGGATGACTGGAGGGAGAGGACGGGGCTAGGAGACCGCGCTCCATGTAGGGCTGCCTGGGGGTGTGGTGGCCAGGCTCCGTGGTCATTGCTCCTCTCAGTCTCCGAGAGTCCCTGACTCACAGCGCCAGCGCGCTGTCCTCCATGATTGTCTGAGTAGTCACTGGGTTTAGGGAGCTGACACTTTTGGGGAGTAGGTGGCAAAAGGGGAAGAATCCGTTTAAGACAGATTGCCTGAATTATGATTTTGGTTCATTAACTTCAGAGTTTTTAAGTGTTTGTTCGGTTGGTTTGGTTTTTTGATTTTGAGGTACTGAGGATTGAACCCAGGGCATTCACACTGAACTACATCCTTTAATTTTAAGACACAGTAGCCGGGTGTGGTGGCGCATGCCTGTAATCCCAGCACTCAGGAGGCTGAGGCAGGAGGATCGCTGTGAGTTCGAGACCAGCCTGGGCTACATAGTGAGTTCCAGGTCAGTCTCAACTACATAGTGGGACCCTGTCTCTAAAAACCAAAAAATAAAAAAATAAAATAAAATAAAAAATAAAT